GGGCAAACACAGCGAACGAATTAGTGCTCCAGCTCATCCCACTGGACTTCATCGCATCCCCAACCTCGCTTGCGATCCCAACCCCTTCCAAATACTTTCAACTTTCCATGGAAGTGTATGATCGCTGCATAGACTTCTCTTCCTCATCGTCGTCCCCAGCGATCATGTTAGAGCAACCGCTTCCGAGGACGATAGATTTCAAGCTGAATGTGAATCCTTCTGCATCTTTACTCCAGGAAAACACATGTCTCCACGTTGCATATGCACAAAGTATCGACGATCGATGGATCACTGCTGCATGGACAGATAATAGAGGGACTCGGCAGATGACTGCATCGTACTGTATGGGGCGAAAAAATGAACCCATCTCGACTCCTTTCACGGAAGTTGCAAACGAGATTTGGGAAACGACATTACAGGTCGTAGCGAGCAAAAAGATACACTGGCGTATCATAATTGCAAGGGTCGGGGTGATGGACTCCTCGGAGTTTGATTTCTGGACGGGTCTCGTGTCGAAAGAATCGAACGCTCAAATCAGCCTTACTCTTGCCACCGTTCAAACTGATCCGTCACTAAGACTACTCCCGGCTTTTGTCACATTGACACCAAATGGGACAGGGGCACAATCGGCCATCACTCCAGTATCGACCCCCCAAGCTCTGCAGTCGGCGATATTGTCGTCTGAGAATGCGACGACACCGGTCCGTGAGAACCTTAGCACTGCTACATCTGTCGAAGCACCAGTTGAACCAGATCATAACTCTCGGCTCATCGACTACACGGACCAGAGTTGGGGGGCTGTCCTCTCGCATCGATTGAACAACTCAAACTCGCTGATGGAGACAAATCCGGCGCTCATTAGCGGATATCTCATAAAGCGTGGCGGAACAAATGTTGCTGATCCCCCCATTGTCATGGAGGTCAACATTGTACATAGTGAGGTTGTTGGGAATCCAAGGACGTTTCACGAATCACTCTTACGAGAATTGCTTGGCTACTACAGGGGCCTTGGAACCCTCGCAAGGGCGAGAGGTGTTGTTGATGCTGTTGTGGATATAAGGCCGTGGCATATTGCTGCTGCAGAAAAGGCAGTCAAATCTTTGTACATGTTGATGTGATACCTAGACTAAATATATTGAGCCTTAAAAGGCCTTTCACGCATTCCCCTCCCCTAAGATTGGCTGAAAATTCGTACCAAGGTATGTCACGACACAAGACCCAGCAGCAACTGGCCTCACTCTAAGATTGCTGGAAGAGCAGTGAAGGCCCGATAGGATACTTCCTTCCTCTGGTCTTAGATAGTCTAGTCTCAACTAAGGTACGAACAAACTTTGCGGAGAGGCTGATCGTTTCCTCGCTTAGCGCCGTTGACAACAATCCAACCAGGGTCTTTTTGCTGTCAAAATTGCGCAAGCGAACAACCCGATAAGATCAGATGGTCTGATACTGTAAGCCCCATTCTAGGCTCGAATGTTCTTTGACATAATTGCTAACAAGTACGTCATATAGCGCAGTCCAACAGTATGCGGATCTCAAATCCCCAAAGTCGGGCCTTCTGAGGCTCATGAGACCTTCATGTAGGACCGATTCCTCGCCCCATCAGGTTCAACTTGTCGAATCCAAAGGAGAAGCTTATTTCACAATTCCCTGCGCTCTTCTAAGCATGCTGCTTTTTGCCTCTTACATCAGACCCGGGTCGCCGAGCCTTCCGCTTCACCTCTTCTTAGATTAGTCATCGAGGACTCAGTGGCCAAACATCACCCTTGAATTCGCCCCGGTAGCGGATGTTTCGGCAATTGTCAGGGGAGAAAGTTGGGGTTATCACAGATATCGAGGAGAATAGTGTGGGGTTGTGGATACGAGTCCCTGATTATGTATGTGTGGTGTTTGTCTGGTGACATGGCAGATTTGGATATCGCGAATCAGCCCTCGGTATGCTTGAATGGGCGGATTATGGTTGATCTTGTGTCATGCGAGATTTTCGATGACTACTTAAGAACATATACTGAGACTAGTTACGGATGTGTACTGAACTCCTGCTGGAGACAGGTTGATATAAAGCTCAGTCTCCCGTCGTCGCTAAGTTCCCAGACGCTTTATGTACGGACTATCTCCTCCTATCAGTATTCTAGACATCACCATGGGCAAAATTTCAAAATTCAAGGCTCAGCTTCCTTTTGGAGCTGGCCCCCGAAACTCGACTACATCCGATGGAGAGACATCACATCATGAGAAGCAAGCCTACAATGGCCCATACGACAACTCACCAGTGCCGACTTTGACCATCCATTCTTTCATCATGGGAGTCTTTGTCTCTATGGGCGGATTCATTTTTGGATATGACACTGGACAGATCTCGGGTTTCTTGGGCATGAAGGACTTTCAAGAGCGGTTTGGGCAGAGAAACAACGATGGTAGTGGATATCACTTTAGCAATGTTCGATCGGGTCTGATCGTTGCGCTCGTAAGTGGTTTGTTCTACTCTTGTCTCCATCTCTAACCTCTTTAGCTGTCCATTGGTACTCTCATGGGTGCTCTTATTGGCGGTCCAATTGCAGACAAATTTGGCAGGAAATGGAGCATCTTTGGCTGGTGTCTTGTCCTCCACGTTGGACTGATTGTCCAAATGACAGCTCCTCACCCGAAATGGTATCAGGTCAGTATATTCTCCTTTTCTTCTCCTAGTTTGTCGGGAGCCGAACATCCCAACATGATTCTGAGAAGGGGAGAAGAAGTGCCGAAATATTCTCTTGCTATTGCTCTTCCAAGAAACTAATACTGATATAACAAATAGATCGTTGTGGGAAGATGGATCGCTGGACTTGGCGTAGGTGCTCTTTCTCTACTTGTGCCTATGTATCAAGGCGAGAGTGCACCTCGCCAGATCCGCGGAGCGCTCATCAGGTATGTCCCCTTTGTCTTGTGTCATGACTCCCATCTAACCATGCCCAGTACCTATCAACTATTCATTACGCTTGGCATCTTTGTCGCAAATTGCATCAATTTTGGTACCGAGAAAAGAGACAACACTGGAAGTTGGAGAATCCCCATGGGAATATCGTTCCTCTGGGTCTTGATCCTCGGGTTTGGAATCATCTTCTTCCCTGAAAGCCCTAGATATGCCTATCGCAAAGGACGTATCGAAGAAGCAAAACGCACAATGACAAAGCTCTACGGTGTCTCGGATAACCACCGTGTTGTCGCCGAAGAATTGGCTGAGATCAAGGTCAAGCACGACGAAGAGATACTCCATGCAGCAACGACAAGATACTTTGATATGTTCACTGGCCCTCGCATGGCCTATCGAATTGCGCTGGGAGTTACTTTACAAATGCTTCAGCAATTGACGGGTGCCAATTACTTCTGTGAGTAACATCCTGGGCTACTTCTTTAATCTAACTTCCATTTACTGACAGTTTGTTGTAGTCTACTACGGAACTGTGATTTTCAAGTCTACTGGTATCAACAACTCCTATGTTACACAGATTATCTTGGGCGGTGTAAATTTCGGCTCAACTTTCCTGGGACTCTATATTGTTGAGCACTTTGGTAGACGCAAGTCTCTCGTAAGTTTCTCCGAGTCCTTTCTTTTTCTTGACCTTGGTTGAGGAAATATGACTCTTGACATGCCTCAAACAATGACAATGGTCATACTTGGAATAGATGCTAACTGTGAGACATCCTAGATCTACGGCGCTGCGTGGATGTTCGTTTGCTTCATGGTCTTCGCTTCCGTCGGTCATTTCGCACTTGATTTGAACACTCCAGAAAACACACCACACGCCGGAAAGGCACTTATTGTGTTCGCCTGTCTCTTTATCCTTGGGTTTGCCACGACATGGGGCCCCATAGTCTGGACAATCATCGCAGAGCTGTACCCCTCGAGATATCGTTCCAACGCCATGGCGCTAGCGACGGCTTCCAATTGGCTTTGGAATTTCTTGCTTGGGTTTTTTACACCATTTATTGTTGGAGACATCGATTTCCGTTACGGGTACATCTTTGCCAGCTGTCTGTTCCTCGCAGCCGGGACTGTATTTTTCTTCGTCATTGAAGGACAAGGTACGCCGATCTTCCAGATGTTCACGTGACTTTTATTGACTTGGAGTAGGCCGCACTCTTGAAGAAGTTGATACTATGTATATTCTTCATGTCGTACCTTGGTAAGCCGGCTCTCAGACATGCCAGCGAACTCTGTTTTATGGACTGTGACTGACTTTGGGTTTCTGCTGTATAGGAAGAGTTCCGAATGGGTTGCACCACCACCGGGGGAACTCGTGACAACCGAGAGACTCGTAAGAGGAGAAGCTGCAGGCACTGGCCCAGATCTGGAAGCCAGTGAGAGTGCCAGACGGAAGGAAACTGCACCTGGTCCAACTGCGGATCACACTGAATAAGCACGACACGCAGAATTGACTCCAGGGCATTCGAAACAAACACAGCTGCACAGCTACTCTGTCCATGGAGCTGTGCCTGTCGACGAGTAAGAGAGTTGTTCGAGATGGGGCAAGTGGGAGGGGAGAGGGGAGAGGGGACTTTCCAATACTACTCATTCATGTAGCACAAGTTGATATTCTAGCGAGCTTTTGTTTAAACAATGGAGGTTAATACGTGGGTGGTAAATATGAAAATATGTATGCTTCGTCCACTTCATGAATGCGAGACGGCCGAAATTCGTGTCTAGGGAAGCTTGTTGCTGTACTCGACAATTACATTAAAAATCAAAGTAATCCTTGCTCGCACCTGATTTTATGAGGTAAATGTCTTGAAACGGTTCTGGGACTTTGGGTACCTATGCGGCGGATGTTGTAAAGAGACCAGCGAATTTCAGTCTTCCCATTACCGGACGAACTTCGTCCGCCTGGATGTACAGTACGGTTATACTTATCAATACCTTGAGTGATGTATAATTTGAAATAGCCAGTTTTCTGGCAAGTCACTTGACACAAGGCGTTTTGGGTAAGCTTCAACACTCCTTCACAACATACTATCACTAACTCTCTTTCTTCAGCTGAGTGGTTATAGCGATAGACTAGAACTAAACATCTATACATCTATTTCCTTTGGGAGCGTAGGTTCAAATCCTGCAGACGTTTGAGTTCCCATATCCGATTAAAGCATTCAAAATACTAATTCTTCCCAGGTCGTCGAGTATCACACTATCTTTTTTGCTACATTTTTGCTCTCAAGGATGAAAGACATACGGGCTCACTTAAACAATCTTTTCTCAAGAAGTTTCCGGGGCTGAATTTGTTTGTGTGCCGAAGCAAGAGGGAAGAATCCCCCCACATATTCTTGCTGTGGCGTTGTGGCTTCGTGATAAGCTTTGCCAACCCACAAGAGCGGAAGGGCCTCAGAACGATAAAACAACCTCACTGAAAGGACTTTTGCACAGAGGCTACACCAACTTTGCTTTTTTTGTTTTGATTCTCTCTCATATCCTGCAAACTCGTGAATCGAGAGTAGTCAACGACGATGTCTTTTTAGTTTGAACTGTTTGATCAAGATACCGGGACTTCCGCGTCCAACTCTCGTCGTCATAGCCAAACATTAACACCGAAGATGCCGGATCGAATCATACGACAGCGGAGAAGACAGACTGCTTTCTCTGTGACCTTCAAGCAGCTAGACCATATCTTGTGCCGCATGAGAATTAAAACTGCAAGTCTGACGACGAGGCGCATCGGAGCTGGAAAGGGGTCCCACCAGTACTGAGTCTACTCCATGGCTCATCGTTAAGTCACCATTGTGACTTGCAACATTGTATCGAAAGCCAGAACTCCTCGGACCCGACAATTATGGAGTTCCCAAGTACGAATAGTGTGAGCTTTTGTTGAAAGGGTACAACACTGCTGTTGTCGAAGTTTAAAACTCCACCTCAATAAATACCTCGGTTAGACATATTTCCCGAGGTGAAGTTGTCCCAACTTCTCTGGATGGAAGTCAACCTGGTCCTGGACTTCAACCCTGGTCCTGCTCCGACTTCCAACTTCCATCCATGGTCATCAGCAGATGAGAGGAACTGGGAGATCGCAAGGCAATGCTTTGCGAGACGGCAGTACAATTATCTTAAAGCCGAGAAGCCCGTAGCTTCCACCGCCAGTAGTGTCTCGATCTGATGTATTTGCCAACCCGAGCTGTCAAACGCGGAGGTGCCGATCTCCCCCGCACCATCTGAATACTTACGTCGTTGGAAATGGCCGAATCCAAGCCAATCTGGGTCCTAGTCGCGAGTCTCGGGGCAAAGAACAGTCCCCGTATTCCATTATCACGGTGGGTGATTGGTGTCGATTTACTCGAGGTAGTTATGCGGCTCGAATAGCTTGCAAGTGGGAGAAATGGAAGTATCTAGCCGTCGGTCTCTGAGAAAACCGAGCAACTGAGCCCACCCGGATAGTTGAGACGGTTCTTCGACGACTTCCAGACTATTACGTAGGTCATCAGTCTTTCGTGCCACCACTACGCCAGCCTACGGGAAAGAAGCTCATCCCTTCATGTAAAGGAGTATACTGGAGTTCATGTTATTTGGGATGCCAGTCTTTTCCCCGTTTCTGGGCTCCAAAGAGATAGATATCATGGGATAGAGTAATGTACTTCCAAATAACTCAGAGGCCAGGATAGGAGCAAAATAGTAGCTCCTCCTTCCCAAATTACCTTTTATCTATCGCGCTGGACACCTGCCTAGAGGGAACAAATACTACAGCATGAACCCCACTTGGTCTTCTGCTCACCCACCAGGGGGAGGGAGGGGTGGATATCCGACCCATCAGTACTGTACGTAGCAAGTATTTTAACAGATACCTGCCCACCCCCACAATCTCTCCGCAGTCTCTCCACAGCCATTCCCTTCCCCAGATTTTCTTCCTTGGTCTGTGTTTTCAGTAATCAAATTTCGCTCCAGCCTTCAACTCTCCTGAATAAGATTCTCGGTCTCTTCGATTCGGTCTAGAATCACCGAAGATCATGTCGTCCGCTCATGTTGAAAATGCAAATGCTGGGCATACAACTGGCTATGATGCTCATCGATTGCACACGCACGACATGGAAATCGGAGTTACCGAAGCTGTGCAAAGACATGTCCAGCGACATGTAGTGCCACCCAAGCCAGTAACTCAACGGAAGCTTGACTTCGAACATGCCAGGCCAAGATGGATGAGAGAAATGGCCGCAGAAGCTCTGGGCGTTTTCTTCTATGTATGTTCATGCTGCACAGCCCCTCTGTCCTTCTTCATATGCCGATTCTCTCTCCTCCCGAATGATTTTTTCCCTAGACGTCCGATGTATTCCTTTTCGGAGCTTGAGCTGATGTGTTTCTTACTACTCAGGTCTATCCCGGAATCGCTTCCCAAGCGTCGTTCTTCTTGAATAAGACAGAGCCAGTATTCGGTTCTCTCTTCCAGATTGGCTGGGCATATGCAATTGGCATTGCATTTGCCATTATTGTCTGCGGCCCAACTTCAGGTGGACACTTCAATCCTGCGATTACCATATGCTTTGCAGTCTTCCAGGGGTGAGCGAAATATCATCCACCGCTTTTAAGACTTTGAAATTGACATATATTTCAGATTCCCATGGTCCAAAGTCCCCAGATACATCTTTGCTCAAATCCTTGGTTCATTCATCGCGGGTTTGGTTCTCGTTGGACAGTATTGGCCAGAGATCTCAGCACTCGCAGCACAGTTAAGAGCGGAAGGTGTAAGCCCGAATTCGCTTGGTGGTCCTGGAAGCATCCTTTGCAGTTTTCCGGCTCCAACACAGACCAACTATGGATACTTGTTCTTCATAGAGTTCTTTGTCGACAGCTTCATTGGGTCAGTAAATATGTCAGGATAAAACACACAGAAAGCTCACAGATAATAGAATCGTAATCTGGGCCGTCCTAGATCCAGCAAATCCTTTCATTGCTCCTACTTCCGCGCCTTTCGTAATCGGTCTCGCTTACGCCAACATGATATGGGGTTTTGCTAATGTGACAATCTCAACCAACTTGGCTCGTGATCTTGGAACCCGTATGGTTGCAGCTATCTTTTGGGGAGGAGATGCCTTTGGAGACTACGCGGCCATTGCAATCCTGGTCAACGTACCCGCAACCTTGTTTGCAACTTTGGTTTATGAGGTTATTCTCAGAGACAGCTTTGCAATCATTGCTAAAGGACATGCTTTTCACGAGGTGAGTTCTAAGCGATAGTTATCTGCCAAATCCCAAAAATATCCAGACAAGTACTGACTTCTGCGCTCTTTTAGGATGGAGAGGACGGCCTTACTCGACACCTGACAAAGACTGGAACATTAGAGCAGGGGCCCGCAGGAAATATCGTTCGGGGTCAACAGACGAGCACCGATGAGAGCTATAACCAGAAACAAGATATCTCGCCGGTATAGGTGATCCAAGGACCAATGCCTTAGAATTACAATAGAAGAAACCGCTGAAGGGGAAATAGTATATCATTACAATAGGGGTAGCAACGAGGAAACGCTTGGCGAGGGAAGTTGTGGCCCACTGGTAAGGGCAATATGAACTGCTTGGTGGAGGTAGAAAACGAATAGGAGGGTAGAAATAGAGACAGATAAAAAGTCAGGGATACACACGTAAATCAAATTCCCCTTTCTCAGCAGACGGTCGGACTCTTATGCTTGTGAAACTAAGACCTGGATGCGGATTTCAAGTTGAAAAGAGGGTCTGTCACGTGTGTCGGATATTCTTCGGTTGTTTACTCGAATTTCCGCACCTGCAGGCGACGAGACATTTGGAGTTTTCACCCCGCCTTGTCTTGTTTATTGTGTTACCCGCAATAGATGAAGGCCAGCACCGTCACCTACTTTTTATAAAGTTGATCCTGGAGTTTGGTTGCGTGTTTGTTCTGCGACACATCCATTCCTTTCGCATTCTTTGCGCAGCGCCGTTGTTCTGAACTCCTTTCCTCTCCCTCATTGCATGATACCATGACCTCTTCGCAGCCTCTCTCAGGCGCAGATGCCGAACCCTCCTCGCCCGTAGACGACTACACGCCTACATTTTACGTGGGCCATCATGAGTCCAAACGGCCCTTGCCTGTCACAGATTTTGTTCTGCGACAGGCTCAAGATGTTGGAGTAAGTGCCCCGCGGTGGGATGAGAGACTACCTAATGCTAATGCGCCTTAGTATGACATGCTCACCAGTCCCATCACAAGTCCCCATTTCCACTCTAGAGTTCTTACTCTGATATCTACCTGCCTCTCCGAGTTGTCAGAAATCGAATCATCCGGCGATGCGGCAAATCACAGCGTCCCACCTGCTCCGATCATACCTCCTCTCAACCCAGTTGATACCCCTCTAACGCCTGGAGATGCTGTCTCCCAAATTATCGCATATTCAAGCCCATGGATAGATTTATGCTCCCCAGATCCTCTCATTGCCAATATCTCCCGCCAGGTTCTCAATATCGAAATAGCTTATGCTTCATTCTGCGGAGTTGGGAATATTGTCATACCAGGACCCAGAGCCTACAGCAGCGGATCAACAGACAATGATGGTCTTATACAATATGCTCGAGCAATTCAAGAGGCCCTCAATATTGGCAGCTACTTGCAGATGGCTATTCACATTCCAATGTATGGAAACGAAGAGGCTAAAGAAATGATTGGCGACCTTCGTCCATATGCCAGAGATCTAGGATCACAAACAGCACAAGGCAAGGGAAGCAAGGAGATTGATTTGTACGAGACTTGGGATGCTTGGAATTTGATTCGGAGTGTATGTAAATACAGTGCAAGACTCTCAGTAGGTAAGAAACCAATACAGCCATCCATTTTCCCAAACTCTATCTACATGTGAGGTATGATCTGTTCTATGTGCGAGAGCTGAGATCCTTCGGAGCAACTACTACATCTCTGAAGGTACTGTTCCCGCTCTACCTTGCGCACATTTGCACAGGATACAACGCTAACACCTGTCTAGCACTTGCACTTCCCCGCCAGCTTCCTGTCGAGTCATTGCAATCTCGTTGGTTTGCTGAGCCATTGAGATTGCTCTCCTTCACCCCGTCAACTTTCCTCAAGAACAAGGGAGGCCATCCTGTTCTCAGCAAAGGTCATCAAGGTTTGATATCCCGCTA